ATATATATATATATATATATATATATATATAAGTAATGATCATGTGAGTCCTTGCCACACCCCAACGGCATTGGACCTCTCAAGATCACCGTTAAACCTCTATTCCCAATCTTGAGATATGGAATAGGTTCACCAGCTAACCCACTCAAAATCGAGTTACCGGTGACAATAAAGTAACCACACCCATCTCTTTTCCAAACTCTTCTAATGGCTCTCTCTTTCTCTCTCTCTCTCTCTCTATAATCAAGAACCTCCCTCTCTCTAAAGCCCAGGCATGCTCCCATCTCTCTCTCTCTCCATAGGAGGCGTTGGCAGAGAGATGGAAAACGACCACCACTCTTTGAAACCTGGGCACATAGAAAGTTATTCTAGGGCAAAAAATCCCCAATCTTCAAATGAAAACTTGCAAAGTTCAATGGAATCCATAACTTTCAAAGAAAGTATTAATCACTAACTATCCAATCTTTGATATGAGCTCCATTTCTGTAACTGATATGGAGAGAAACGAGAGGGAGTAAAAGAAGATACAGAGAGTAAGAGTTGCAAATGTCAATGAGTAAGAGTGTAAAATAAATTAAGGGGTAGTCTTTGGGGAGAAGATCCACATTGATATATTTGAGTATTTCTCTCGCTTTTTAAGGGGAAAGAGATAAGATTTGATATAGAGAAGAGTAATCATGTTCATATTTCTTTGATCTAGATAAAGGGGAGAGATTGGAGGGATTCAAACAAGTCTCCTCTATTTTCCCTTCAAAGGTCATAGCTTATCATGTGAGATTTTGGGAGGATCTACAAAACACATAGGTAAAGTGATTGGATAGAAGAGGTGATGGGAGAGGAGAAAATGAAAGAGGCTATGGGAGAGAAGAGAGAAGAAAGTGGTAGTTAGAGAGAGAAGGTACTTGCTAGATGAAAATATGTGCCTCGTTTTAGATAAAAAATCTCCATCCAACTTGATTTTAAAGAGAAAAATCCTTTTTAGAGAGAAAATTCGTTTCAGCACTCCTTTGCCCTAATTTTAGAGAGATAAAAAGCCTTTCAATACTCCTGTGCCCCAATCCTGGTTGGAGAAAAACCACCCTTGGAACTAGATTTTAAAGACAGAAAAAGCCTTTCAATGATTAGATTTTAAACAGAAAAGGCTTTCAAATCTCTTGTGCCCCATCCTGGTTGGAGAAAAACCACCATTGGAACCAGACTTTAGAAAATGCTCATATTTTAGAGACAAAAAAAGGGCCTTTCAATGCATCTGTGCTTGTCTTTAGAAAGGTGGACTCCTTTTCTATTCTCATGCCTGTGATTCTTAGAGGGAAAGACTTCAAAGATTCATGCCATTTTTGACTTGAGAGAGAGAGAGAGAGAGAGAGAGTTTCAATTAGCGTATTTTAGAGATAGAAATAAGATGAGATATTCAATTAGCATATTCAATTATTTCTTGCTC